CCTTTCAGATATATGATATGTGTATAAAAATATATTCTCCCCCATCCTATTCATTTAACACTATCTCTTACTATATCAATATAGAAAGAACTTCCTCTCCTCTCAAAAACATTTGCATTATATCTTCTTGTTTGAGTGAACTATAATTTATTAAATTAGTGTTCTATTGATGGAAAATTAGATGGTTTCCAATCTTTTCTCTTAGAAATAATGGTGTATTAGGTAACTGAACATATCAGTTTACACATTTGTAAATATGCTTGTAGGGTAAATTCCTAGAAATTGTCTTTCTGAATCAAATAATATATACATTTTTAATTTTGATATCTAATCTAGTTGTCTTCCATAGGTATTGTACAAATTTACATTCTCATTTAGATATGTTTTTCCAGTTTTACTACTAATGCATATAATTATTTTGGATATTTGCCAGTCTGTGTGTAAAAAATGGTGTCTTAGTTCTAATTTGCATAAAATAGGTTAAAGTATTTGTCTACATATACACATACATTGTATAATGTCAGATATTATCATAAGGCTTACAATAACTTAAAAACATAGTCCTTTGCATCCCCTCCCTTCCATTCCCTATTCTAGCTTTCCATAGGTAATCATAAACATTTCTTTCGGTATTAATCTGCATATTTCTGAATAACAAGGCAATACTGACTGACATTTTAATCTTTTCAGGGACAATCCTATTATGGAAGATGAGAATTTAGTTTTCTTGTGTTTTCTTCCCTCCTCTCCCATGCCCACTTTTCCCCTGGTTCTGATAGGTAGATTTCGTAACAATCTATTTTAAATTTAAAGTAACTATAAGTACCTTTGTGTATAGCCCAATTAATTATTTGTTAGTGTCTCAGGTCCTTATAATGCATGCTGTTACATACCCAAAGACTTGAAAATTATACTCTCATTAGAGTGCTTTGGATCATTTGATTTTCTAATTGCACATCATCTAAATTTAACAGAGTTGCCATTCTAAAGCTCTAACAATACCTGTAATTATGACCTATTGGTAGTAACCCATAGTTTTGGTAAAGTTCCCATTTGTTTGTAAGTAACTTGTATAATCTATTATTCTTGGGACCTTTTAGTTTTAGGGAACACATCGTTCATTGCAGATCATACAAGCCATTGTTTATTGAGTGGCTGTCAAGAAGTATCAGGCATTGTTCTAAGTGCTACATCTGTACAAACTAATTTAGACCATATAACAACCCTGTGAGGAAGATGCTAGCATTATTTGCATTTTACAGATAAAGAAACTGAGACCTAGGGAAGGTAATCAGCTAGCTTGAAGTTACTCAGCTAGGAGGGAGATGGTAGAGCTCGGATGGAAACCCCAGACAGTCTGTCTGTAAAGCCTTCACTTATCCACTCTGCTATATGGCATTTGTATTAATGATATACTCAACCTCAGTAAAGCATGTGCTTTGGTTTGGTTTTCCGCTAGTGGTGATGGATTTATGCTACTCCATCCGTGTTTAACATTTCTCATTTTTCTTTTTTCTAAATCAGCATGTTCCTGAAAACTTTAAAAAATAAAATGTTTTAATTGAGGTTAAAAACATAATATAAAATTTATCATCTTAACGATTTTTAAATGTACTGGTTAGTAGTGTTAAGTATATTTACATAGTTGTGTAACAGGTCTCCAGAATTTTTCATATTGCAAAATAGAAACTGTACCTATTAAATAACAATATCCCATTTCCCTTTGTCTGCATCCCCTGGCAACCACCATTCTACTTTGTCTCTATGAACTTGACTGCTGTAGATACCTCATGTAAGTGGAATCATACAATATTTGTCTTATTTTTGACTGACATTTCATTTAACATGATGTTCTCAAGGTTCATCCATGTTGTGGCATGTGATAGGATTTCCTTCTTTTTAAAGGCCTAACATTCCATTGTGTGTGTATGCACATAACATATTTTGTTATTTTAGTAATTCTTCAATGGACATTTGATTGTTGCCACCTCTTGTCTATTATGAATAATGCTACAATGAATATGGGAGTGCAAATATCTCTTTGATATGCTGCTTTCAGTTCTTTTGGATATATACCCAGAGGCGGGATTGCTAGATCGTATGGTACTTCTATTTTGAATTTTTTGAGGAATTTCCCTACTGTTTTACATAGTAGCTGTACCATTTTGCATTCCCACCAACAGTACACATGGGTTCCAATTTCTCCATATCCTCGCCAACACTTTTTTTTTTGGTAGCGTAATGGATGGGAGATGCTATATCATTGTGATTTTGATTTGTATTTCTCTAATGATGAGTGATGTTAATCAGCTTTTCATGTGCTTGTTGACCATTTGTGTATCTTCTTTGGAGAAATATCTATTCAAATCCTTTGCCAATTTTTAATCGAATTATTTATTTTTTGTTATGTCGTAGGATTTCTTGGTATATCCTGGATGTTAACCCCCTTATCAGATATATGATTTACAAATATTTTCTCCCATTCTACTGGTTGCCTTTCACTCTTGGTTATTTCCTTTGATGCAGAAGCTTTTAAGTTTCATGCAGTCTCATTTGTCTATATTTGCTTTTTTTGACTGTGCTTTTGATTTCATATCTAAGAAATCATTGCCAAATCCAATGTCATGAAGCTTTTTCTCTGGGTTTTTTTTTTTTTTTTTTTTTTAGGATTTTTAGGTCTTTAATCCATTTTGAGTTAATTTTTGTGTATGATAAAGTAAGGATCCAACTTCATTCTTTTTGCATGTGGATATCCTGTTTTCCTAACATCATTGGTTGAAGAGACTGTTGTTTCCCCAAGGAGTGGTCTTGGTGCCCTTGTCAAAAATCTCTTTACCTTTTCTGGGCTCTCTGTTCTGTTCCATTTGTCGAAATGCCTATCTTTATGCTAGTACTACACTGTTTTCATTACTATAGCATTCTAATGTGTTTTGAAATTAGGAGATGCAAGGCCTCCAACTTTATTTTATTTCAAGATTGTTTTAGCTACTTGAGGTCTATTCCTGAAAGTAAAAAATATCTACATAATGTAATATTTATCATTTTAATCACTCCTAAGTGTACAAATCAGTGGCATTAAATACATTCACAGTGTTGTATAACTATCACCACTCTCTATGCCCAAACTTTTTCATCATTCCTGACAAAAACTTTGTACTCGTTAAACAATTACTCTCCCTTTCCTACTTCCCCCTAGTTCCTGGTAACCTCTCCTCTACTTTCTCTTTTTTCTCATCCCTTTTAAACCCATTCTGACATATATAAAAACCTTATGTCCTCTTTTGTTGTGATTTAAAATGAAAAATAAATATAACAATTAACAATAAGTCAAAGTAATAAATTTTAAAACCACATGTCCATCCTCTTCTCATTTCCCCCCTTAAGAGTCATTGAGCTTGGGATGCCTAGAAACCAACATGTTTGTATACCTAGTATGGGGGGGAGGTGAGGTATGTGACTATGGACTTATTTAGAGCAAAACTAACTGAAGATGAGAGTCAGGTTCACTGGTTTTCTTAGCTTGATGCTCTTAGCTCAGAGAAGTAACTATCCCAGACTGACCATTTTGAATTTGCTCTACTACTTAATAAGCTGCAACAAATTAATATAAACAGATTTAATCATTTTTACTTTCTTTTTAATACATCCATCCATTATTGATTACCAGTTTTCCCATACTTCAGGCTTTAATTTAACAACGCAAAGAAATATTACATACACTTTATTCTCATTTTGGAAAAATACTTGACTGAATGTTTTTTTTTTTTGTACAAATAAGTGGCTTGGTCAAGAGTATCCTTTGGGTTTTTTCCTCTAGGTTTTACAGAAAAATTTTAGTTTTTGAGTTATATGTACAGTAAAATACACAAATCTTAAGAGTAACCCAGTGAATTTTTACATATGTATGTACCCATATAAGTACCATTCACATCAAGATATAGAACATTTTACCCCTTAGGAAGTTCTCTCATGTTTGTTCTGAGAGAGATGCCTCCTTCCAGAGAAGGGATGTCATGACCCTTTTATCATAATGATATGTTTCTGTCTCTAATAATATTTTTTGTCTTAAAGATTCGAATTTCGTTCTTCTAAAATCTCACAAAATGTTTTCTGTCAGGCCTACTCTATCCGGTGGTAAATTCTATGTACTTCCATAGGCTTTGGCTGATTCTCCCAGTTTGGCTCAGTGCTCTGGAAGATGATAAGCCCCAGAGGTTCAGTCTGCCTTTCCTCAGGTCCCATAGTGTTTTGTAGAGGCTCTTACTCTTGATGGATTTTTAAAAAAAATTTCCCAGGGCTATCTACTCATCCCTTCATTCTTCTCTTTCCACATTTTACAAAATGCAACCCAACAAGAAAATGAGAGTAACCTTATATGAAATACTTCTCTTTCCACATTGAAAAGTATTTCATATAAGGTTACTCTCATTTTCTTGTTGGGTTGCATTTTGTAAAATGTTTTTCCTATCAGGTGTCTGGGTATAAGAGTTCTATGATCCTCATCATGCTTTCTTTACCCAGAAAACTTGGGCATGTATTTTTAAATGTTTAATAACATGGAAAAAAATAGTATTTGTACCTTTACAATTTATAGAAGCTTCCTGGAGTAGTGACTAATCCAAATTTTGATGTTTCACTTTTCCTTGTTAAAATTCCTTTGTACTTTCCCATTCACCCCACTCCCCAAGTTTCTTGTAGCTGTGTGAGTGTTAAGAGGTAATATTTTAGTTTATGAGGCAGAGATGGAGATAAGATATTTGTGATAGATAAAAAAGATAAGATGACTAAGAAAACATTTTCTGAACTAAGAAGATGGTCTGATTCTAAAGGTTCTAAAAGAATGAAATATTGCTGTTTACAGCTATAATCTCTTCAGAGTACTTTTAATAACTAGTTTTGTTTAGAAAAAGTACAAAATAAAACCTGTGGATATCTCTTGGAAATTTTGTACAGATAGCTAGTACTGTAACAGTGAATGTGTGTGTTTGTTTTCTCTCCAGAATCTCCCTGGAAAAAGAGACATGAATGTCTGCAATGATATTTCTTGATAAGAAGTTGATAGAAGAGAAGGAAAGGAGATCACCAGCTAGAGAGCAGAATTTCCAAACCAGGACTTTATATTTATTACCTCCAACTACAGACTTTTCTTGCCTGCTTTTAAATCAGAGGTAACTACAGTCAGAACCCAGACAAGGCAAAAGAGTACTTTTCTTCCATATCTTTTGAGATCAAAGGAACCGCAATGTCTAGGAAACAAAACCAGAAAGGTAAGATTATATATATGTGGGCATAAATTGTTAACAACATAGTTGTGGGGTAATCACCATTTATATCTATATTTTTAAAAAACATTTTCTTAATGTGTTTTGAATGGTTATACTTTCCCTTACCCAAGGCAATACTACTGATAGTTATAACTGTGTCATGACAGCAGTTAATTTTAGAAGAGTATACAGAACATTCACAAGTTAATCTGTTGTCTCTTTATCTAAATATCTGTGGATAGTACATTACAGCTTTGTGTGTTACTAGTTTGGGAATTAATTCATGTAACAGTTGCTTTTCTAGTCTTATAATAAACTTAATGAATTGGAATATACTTGCAAGAAAGCCAAATGAATCTTGGAAATGCACTTTTTAGAGAGCGAACACATGTTAGGGAGAGTGGTAGTAGATAATTTACTGCAAGATATTTTATCTCTTCTGAGTTGATGTTTCATTGGAGACAGGAAGTGAAACAAGAGTAAATGCTTCTAGTTTTTGATTCCTTCTTTAGCTTTCCTTCTGGGATAAGTACTCTAGCCTCTTGTATAAAGTAAAATATAAGATGCAGAGTCAAGAAATATCAAGAACAGTTATAAAGAGGGAAAGGACAACAAAGACTCTATAAATCACTTTTTCAACTTTCCTAGAATAGCTGTAAAACTTAAAGAGACGAATTTGTTTTTAATTAATAATTTTTTATTTTTCAGTTATAGTTGGCATACAATAATAGTATATTAGTTTCAGGTGTACAACATAGTGATTAGACATGTATATAACTCACAAAGTGATCACCCCAATAAATCTAGTGTCCCTCTGACAGTACGTAGTTATTACAATATTGCTGGCTATATTCCTTAAGCTGTTCCTTAGCCATGACTATTTTGTAACTACCAATTCGTACTACTTGATCTCTTCCCCCTTTTTTACCGAATCTCCCCTCCCATCTGGTAATCCTCAAAATGTTCTCTGTATCTATGAGTTTTCCTGTTTTTGTTTGTTTGTTTATTTTGTTCTTTAGGTTCCACATATACATACAATCATATGTCATTTGTCTTCCTCTATCTGACTTACTCCTCTCAGCACACTACCCTTTAGGTCCACCATAAAATATCTTTTTCCATCCCATTACTTTTAGTCTGTGTGTATCTTTTAATCTGAAGTGAGTCTCTTGTAGGCAGCGTATGTAAGGGTCTTGTTTTCTTATCCATTCAGCCACCCTATCTTTTGATTGGAACATTTAATTCTTTTTTCATTTTAAGTACTTGTTGATAGATATATAGTTATTGCCATTCTTTATTTAGACTTTTGATACATATATATATATTTTTTTCTTAAAGAAGTCCCTCTAACATTTCCTATAATACTGGCTTGGTGGTGATGAACTTCTTCAGCTTTTTCTTGTCTGGGAAGCTCTTTATCTTTCTTTTGATTCTTCATGATAACTTTGCTGGGTAAAGTAATTTTCTTGGTTATAGGTCCTGGGTTTTCATCACTTTGAATATTTTGTGCCAAGCCTTTCTGGCCTATAAAGTTTCTGTTGAGAAATAGGCTGATAGTCGTATGGGTGCTCCCTCATATGTAACTAATTGCTTTCCTCTTGCCACTTTTAAGAGTTTCTCTTTGAATTTAATCTTTGGCATTTTAATTATGATGTGTCTTGGTGTGGGCCTCTGGGTTCATCTTGTTTGGGAGTCTCCGAACTTCCTGGACTTGTATGTCTATTTAGGAGTCTCTGAACTTCCTGGAGTTGTATGTCTATTTCTCTAACCAGGTTAGGGAAGTTTTCCGTCATTATTTCTTCAAATAGATTTTCAATTCCTTGCTCTCTCTCTCCTCCTTCTGGTACCTCTATGATGTAAATATTGTTATGCTTGATGTTGTCCCAGAGGCTTCTTAAACTATCTTCATTTTTTTGGATTCTTTTCTCTTGTTGCTGTTCTGATTGGGTGTCCTCTGCTACCTCATCTTCTGTGTCGCTAATTTGATCCTCCATTTCCTCCACTCTATTGATTTCCTCTAATGCAGCGGTCTCCAGCCTTTTGACACCAGTTATCAGCGCTCCTATGAGAATAATGCCTGATGATCTGAAGCGGAGCTAAGGTGGTGATGCTAGCACTGGGGAGCGGCTGCAAATCCAGATGAAGCTTTGCTTGCTCACCCGCCACTTACCTCCTGCTGTGCGGCCTGGTTCCTAACAGGCCACGCGGGTCAGTACTGGTCCGCAGCCCAGCGGTTGGGGACCCTTGCTCTAACGTACTCTTCATCTCATATATTGTTTTCTTCATTTCTGACTGGCTCCTTATTATGTTTCCATCTCCATTTTTATGTTTTTTATCTCTTTGTTAAAGTTCTCACTGAGTTCATTTACTCTCCTCCTAAGTTCCTCAAGCATCCTTATAACCAATGTTTTGAACTCTGCATCTGGTATATTGCTTGTCTCCATTTTGGTGAATTCTTTGTCTGGAGCTTTGTTCTGTTCGTTCATGTGGGACATACTTCTTTGTCTCCCCATTTTAGCTGCCTCCCTGTGTCTGCTTCTGTGTATTAGGTAGGGCTCCTAAGTCTCCTGGCCTTAGTAGAGTGGCTTTATACAGTAGGTGTGTTGTGGGGCCCCTTGGCACAGACCTGAGACGGGTCCAGCTGCAGGCCAAATTCACCTTCAGCCTGTGTACCTCTGGAGCCACCTGATAATAGTCACTAAGTAATCTACATATGGCTGCCACCCGTGTGCTAGGCTTATAGGTACCTTAAGGGTCCAAGTCCAAAACCGAGGCTGGCTGCCACTAGTGCAGGGTTTGGGGCTGCTCAGCAAGAGGTACCGGGCACGCTGAAGCCAGATGCTGCTTCTTTGGGTTTTGTGAGCCTTTGAGAGATTTTATGAAAGTTTGCAGCAGGTCTCAAGACAGCCTTATGTATGGTGGGTTAAATCACTGGAAGCAGCTTGAGTGGGCCCACAAATTGGAAAAGGTGGTCTCAGGGAATCCCCTGGGCAGAATGACCTGTGTTATCCAGGGTGATCGTACCTATGTTTGCAGGCTAGGAGTGGGGAGGGCTCAACAAAGAAACAGTGGCTTCTGCCTGCACCTCTGTCCATGAGCAAGCTGCCCCTCCAGCCTTTGCCCTGAAGCCCAACAGCTCAGCACCCCGCTGTATGTCCCTGGTGCCCCATGAGCAACTGCCTCAGTGCTGGAGCTCAGTGAGTGGGTCCATCAGCAAGTAAGGCCAGTGCAGGCCGTTTAAGAGGAAGGTCTCCGCTTCCTACAACTCTCCATCTCACTCAGCCACAACTTCCGCTGGTTTTCACAGCCAGAGGTAGTGGGGACTTCTCTTCCCAGTACTGGAACCCTGGACTGGGGAGCCCAGTGTGTGGCCAGAACCTCTGGCTCTTCAGGTCGGGGAGGTAGCTCTGCAGCCAAGATAGCCTTATGGATTCTCTGATTGCCACTCATGGTTGTGGGACTAGGCAGTTTCACATCTCCACTCCTACTACTGTTTTGAGGTTACCTGTTATTTGAGGTGACCTAATTGTAGGGCTTCTGTTCAGCTAGACCTCAGGCGACTCCGCACACTGGTTGCTCTGTAGTTTTGTTATAATTTTGGCGTGGTCACTAGAGGAGGAGATATGCACAGCCTCACCTTCTATGCCATCTTGAATCTTCTCTTAAAGGGACAAATTTAACAACACTAAAACTATTATACATAGCGTATATATTTGTTAAAAGAATGACCATCACTATTCTGGTTTTCCTCCTCTCATTCAATATAACTTTCAATTTAAAGTTAATTAAGTTCTTTAATTCAAAACAATTTAAAGTTAATTAAGTTCTTTAATTCAAAACAAAGCTATAGAGCCAGGTCTCAAATGTTAAATAAGAAGGAAATGCTTTTAAACTTAATTTTGACTTGGCACTTCAAAAACCTCATTATAAGAAAATAATATTCCAGAGTTCCTTATGGTTTTGAAAACTGTAGTTTCTGTCTACTGTAAATCTGTAAAAAGAAAATCTGGGCTCTAAGACATGGTCAGATCACTAAAGAAGCTGAACTGTTCTATGGAATGAGACTAATCAACTGAAAGTTTTTATAACCTTTTTGTTTATTAGTCATAATTCAGCGTGCTTTTTTTTCCCAGTTAAGCTTGAAAAATTGAGTATCTGTTTTCCTCGTGCAAATAAGAAATACTATAGTCAAAATACGATTCCAGACTTTAAGATAATTTCACCTAAAAGGTTCAGCATCTGAGTTTTCCTAAAAAAAAAAATTAACTTCAGCAGATTGCTTTGACTTTTTAAAAGCCAGAGTCTTTGTTTATTTCATGTATGTCTTTTGCCAGAGCTGTAAAAAAGTCTTCATTACTGTATATTTATGGTATTCTTGAGGTCAGGTAGCGTCAGTTCTTCATTGTTCTCCTTCAACGTTGTTTTGGCTAGTCTGGGTCTTTTTAACTTTAGAATCAGTTTGTCAATATCCACGAAGTAAAATGCTGGGATTGTGATTGGGTTTGTTTTTAATTGACATTTTGACAATATTGATTCATCCTCTCCACAAACATAGAATGTCTCTCCATTTATTTATTTCTTTTATTTCTTTCCTCAGAGTTTTGTGATTTTCCTCATATCAGTGCTATCCATGTTTTGTTAGATTTATACCCAAGTATTTAATTTTTAGGGGTGCTAATGTAAATAGTATTGTGTTATTTCAAATCCTATTTCTTCATTGCTGTTACATGGGAAAGCTATGGACTTTTGTATATTAACCCTGACTTGCAACGTTGATGTAATCACTTACTCATTCCAGGAGTTTTATTTTAAAATTTTATTATTGAAATTTTTAAGCTTATGAAAAATAGAATGGTATAGTGAACTCCCCTATACCTATAATGTAGGCCATAATTAATAACACATGGCTAATCATTTTTGTCTATACTTCAGCCCACCCCCAGTGGATTATTTTGAAGCAAGTTTATGATATCATCTCAGGGATTGACTTTTTAAATAGACAT